GTAATAGTGCTTGTAGGAGTAGCTTAGATGAAAAGGAGATGAGAAATGTATCTCAGGCCTAAGGAACAGAACCTTTTGTCTTTCAAGGAAGAGGAAAAAAAATACATCTGATTTTGTGAAATGGGGAGGTGCTTCAAATGGAGAGGTGCTTCAATAAAGTGAGAATTTGACATAGGCTCTCCCTGAATAATGTTAAATATTTCATTAAATATGAAGTTAATAAAACCCAATAGAGAGCTAGAAATAAAGGAGGGTGTTATCAGTTTCTAACCAGGAAAACAGAAGTCACCCCTAATACATAAAACAGAGGGAATTTAATCCAGAGAGTTGATTATCGGGTATTAGAATTGTTAAGAAGCCAGACAGGGAAAATGAGGCAACCCTAAGGTCAGCAACAGCAGGAAGTCCCACTTACCCTCAGGATTAGAGGACACAAGTGGGGTTTCCAGAGCCAAAATGTGAGAGTACCCAGCAGAAGCTCAAGTCACAAGAGGGGTTTCCTCACAGAAGGAAACTGTAGGCTGGAAACTGAGGGAGCAGCTGTTTGATGTGCCCTGGACCCAGGGAGAAACTGTAGCTACTGCCAAGAAAGGAAGAATGTAGAGAGAAATACTCTGACTTCTTTCCTCTTGCTCTCCAAATTTCCTTCACAGAGGCAAAGCCTACTGACATTGCAGTTTGGAAAGGCAGCCTACAGAGGCCTTCTCCCCCATACCCCCCCTACCCCCACAAAACAGAGAACAGAACAGAGCAAGAACAAGGAATGCATCCAATATAGCAAACAGGCTATGGACCAGCATAGCATAATGGGAAACTATGAGGGATTTGTTTTTCAGTTTGTTCAACAAAAGTGTGTTAGTGCCTACTGTGTATTAGAAATTCTATTCCTATTGGGAATACAAAGATAAATAAGAAAGATCTCTATATTTTCATCAATAAAACATTTCAACACCTCTGTGTGAGCAATGTCACCTAATTAGGAAATACAGTAATCAGATAAACTAATCAGATGGGCTATAAGAGGCTTGGAATTGGGAGAAAGGTCTGGGGGTCTCCTGACAGGCAAAGGGAAGTAGGTTATCTGGTAAGACCTCTGACCTAAATATGGATGGAAATATAAACACAGACATTTGGAATATCTGCCCAAGTTTTGAATGGCTTCAGTCTTGGCCCCACTCTAACTAATGGAATTGGGAAGAATTATAAACCACTGAGGTCAGCATGGCTCAACAAGTTGCCCTCTGCTTTGGAGCCAAAGAGACCTAGGTATGAGCCCCAGTCTTGCTCTTTAAAGGTTCCACAGTCTTGGGTAAGTCATTTAGCCTCAGTTTTCCAATCTTCCAAAGAGCAATAATAGTAATTCCTTTAAAGAGTTTTTGTAAAGATTATATGTGATCACATATTTAGTGTTTAGTTAAATGCTTGGGATGTAGTAGGTACTCAACAAAAAGAAGCTGTTCATATCTTAAAGTGAGTATATAAGGAACAAATACAACTACACAATGTTAGTCATTAAAACACATTATGTTTACATATATTTACATAAATATACTTTGTGAACACACATAGATAATATAAAGAGTTCATCTCATAATACAATGTGTAATCATAACATTTTGAGTATTCTTTTAGAAAAATTGAAAGGATTTATAATTTTCCAGGAATCATGAATATATTTCATTTAATGTATATCATATGAAATTTAATTATTCATTCTATAATCTTGATAATATGCTTACTTACCCATTGCTAAGGGATTTCAAATATTTCTGTATTCCAGATATCACTTACATAAATGTTGAATTAATATTCACAATATCCAGGACTTTATTATGTTTTATCTTTGTCACACATGTTGATAAAATCATAACCTTGGATAAATCCAACGATTTGTCACCCATAAGCCTGAATCCCTGCTGTTAAATTGGGCAAAAGAAAAATGCACATCCATGTTAGGTGGTCTTATGTTAACTTTTTAACCATAAACCTCAAATGAGCCCTTAAAACTGGTAGGCAATTACACTATGCCTATCATTGCCAACTCAATCCCTCTCCCAGTCTCAGACAACTATTCAGATTTTTTCCTCTCTCTACAAACCCTCAACAATTCGTCCACCATCCTTATTCTCAGATTGATGACCTTACTTCAAACTTTTCTGAGAAAATAAAATTAATCACAGGACAGCCTGCACAGAGCCTTTCACCACATCTACCACCCACCATCTTCTGCACCCACCACACCTCCCCACCCACCAGCACCTGCATTCACAAGCTCTGCCTCCTGCCTGATACTGGGATAAGCTTTCCAACCAAGAACACTCCAGAAATTCTCCTCTCTTCTTCCAACATGGTCATTTTTTCTCTCTCTACCTAATCATTGGCATTACTGTATATACATGCAGTTATTCCTTCCATCTTAAAACATAAAAATCAAAAGAAAATTATCTTTGCCCTACTTCCACTTTACCAAATCACCCATCTATTTGGTCATCTTTGTATCAAAACTCCTGGAAAAAGTTGTCTATATTCAACTTTTTTTTTTCTCTCACCAGTAATTTAAACACACTCCAATCGTGGTTTTGTTCCCCTCACTCCAAAGAAACTTCTCTAGCCAAGGACATGAATGACCTTCACATTGCCACATATATTGTACAATTCATGGTCCTCATCTTAACCTGTCAGCAGCATTTAGCGCAGCTGTCATTCCTTGAAATGCTCTCTTAGCTCCTGGGACACACAGTCTCTCCATTCCTCTCTTTCCTCAGCGGCCCTTCTCAGGAAGGAAGCCAAAAAACCCTTCATCTTATCCTTGACCTCTTAATGTTGGAGTATGCCAGGCTCAAATTAGTCCTTCCATCTTCTCTATTTACACCCACTCACTTGGTAATCTCTTTCTAGGCTCATGTCGATGACGATGCCCAAATTTATACCTTCAGCCAATATATTTCTCCCAAAATTTAGATTCATCATTCTACTTAGAGATCTTAAAAACATCTCAAGCACAACATGCCTATATGGAACTCCTCATCTTTGTTTAAAACTTACTACATTGACAGCCTTCCCATTTCAGTTGATAGCAAGTTTATCCTTCAAGTTGCTCAGGCCAGAATCTTCAGTCATTCTTGACTCTTTTCTTTCTCTCATGCTCCACATTCATCCATCAGAAAATTCTGTTGGCTCTACTTTCAACATATATCCAGCATCAGTTTTATATCCCATTACCTCCATTGCTACCACACTAGTCTGAACAAATATCATTTCTCACCTGGGTTGCTGCAATAGCATCTAATAGGTCTTCCCGTTTCTACCTTTCTTCCTCGACATTAGTGAAACAGCAACTGAAGGGATCCTTTTAGACCTAAATCAAATCATGTCACACGTCTACTCAAAATCCTGCAATTGGTCCCCTCTCACAGACAGCAAAAACCAAGGTCCTACATGATTTGACTCCTGTTTTATCTTTGACATCATATCCTAATATTTCTACCATTGTTCTTTTGCTCCAGCCACACTGTTTAAATAATAAATATCTGTTAAATCAATCCCAGTTTCCAAGGAGCTCATACTCTACTGGGAGAAAGAGAGTTATATTAATGATTGCAAACAGAAGGTAGTTATTAAAGCTCTCCTCTATCTCCCATCCTAAATTCTCACAGGTGAGCTTTGAAGGTTGAGAAATTTGCCAGGGATGGGAGCAATGTTGGAGACACAGGTAAGAAACAAAGATATTTCAGGCAGGACAAATACTGCATTTGCAAAGATCTGGAGAAATGAATCAGCAGAACGTTTAGAGAATTACAAGTACAGCATCAAAGAATAATATTTGAGATTAGGGGGCCTGGATGCGGGAGGTAAAGAGAAATAGAGTTTACACTTTAGATAGGAGTCAGATCATGAAAGACTTTCCATTTGTTTGTTTCTTCACTTACAGCTTTCAAGCTGCTCTCAGAACAATTTATTAACCATATCTTTTTGATGCACCCCCTCAAAGGGGCTAAAGCAATACTTGGAAAGGATTCTGAATTCCCTGAGTTAAAGATACAAAAGAAAAACCTAGAATCACATTTAATTTGACAAGGTAAAGGAGTGGGTGTGCTACTATATCAAATTTAATTTGTACAAAATCATCATCTCTGGTAACATTATTTTTCCTGATCAACTGCGTTTAGACTACTTTAGTAAGGCTTGATCTCCCTGTCTACCTAAACACTGATTCACTTACAGCAAGCTTCAGGCTAACATTGGTCTTATTAATACCCAACAAATCCACAAGGTGTTAGTTGCACATGATTTTGTATAAAAGGTGAAGTGAGACTTGACTCCGTATACAGCTTTCCCCGGATAAGGCAGCTAACCAAAGGTGAGTCTTGGCATTTACAGTTAACAAGTGGTGACAGTTACTCTTGAAATTATAGGTTTTTCAGGATCTGGAGAACAAATCTAGACCTTTTTCAACTACTGTTGTGTAGATGATTTATGCGTGTCAACCCGGCTTCTTAAATATGGTTAATACACTGTAGTCACTGTAAGCAAGCAACTGAAATTTATATAGACCAATTCACCTGGCCTCTTGAAATAGTCTTATTTTAAACAAAGGTGAGCAAAAGCAAATGCTAAAACTGATGAACCAATTTTATAGTATAGAATTTCCTTTTCATTTTTTAAACAAAAATGGTCTTTAAAATGATAATGAAGGGACAAACATGATTATCACAATTACCATCCTCAGAATAATCACTTAAATACTCTGATCTTTAAATACTGCTCTGCTTAAATCACTATATTGGAGTTTTGATCTTAATATGGGTCTACTTGATAAAAAAAAAAATGAAGGAGAAGGAGAATAAGAAGAAATGTTTGAGAAAGAAGTCAGGGAAGGGAAAAGGAAGGGAAAAAAATGCTGGAGCAAAATGTGACTGGGGAGGATGGGCAGATCAATTATTTTTGCTTTGGTCAACTTACATGATTATAATTTTGGGGGGTTTTTTGGTTTCTCATGAGCCTTAATTGTTTGCTTTATAGCCCAGGATGAAGTCAGTCCAGTTTTGCTTCCTTTTCTGCTGCTGGAGAGCAATCTGCTCCAAGAGCTGTGAGCTGACCAACATCACCATCACAGTGGAAAAGGAGGAATGTCGCTTCTGCATAAGCATCAATACCACATGGTGTGCTGGCTACTGCTACACCCGGGTAGGAAATCTGCTTTGCTGGAAGTGAGGGTGCTAAGGGTCTGTCCAAGGCAGGCTTCATTAATTCCTACTTTATGAATATTTTAACTTTCCCAAGTAATAGCCATGAGTCCCTTAGTCAATACTGTCTGTGTTATGATTGGAATTAAATACCATGATATCAGTTAAATGTTTGGGCTTGGATTTGATTAGGGTAAATCTAGCAAAATGTCAGATTTGATCTGATCAACTTGGTAATATGCCAACTCTGCACTTCAAAAAAAGTAGTGCTATGGTAGATTTTATATATAGAGAGATAAACATGTAAACATACACATACTTAGTAATAGACCTACCATATTCCCCAAAAGCCATTTTGTGTAACTGCAGCCATATCTTTGCAACAGAGATAGTATCAAAATATATTTTTCCAAGCCACATGAAAACACAAATAGACATATTATAAAAATTGTTTTATTCACCCACCTGATTATAAATGGCAACAAGCAGCCTCAGAACACAATCCATACTTGCGGACTATTAGAACCAAAATGAATCAGCAAGAATTCATGAAGAACTCCCTTCTTCATGCCATTGAGAAAACCAAGGCACAGAAGCATAAAACCACTAGTTTGTTTTCACACAGTTTCTTTTGCATTAATCCAAGTAAAGAGTTTCTACTTTATTTTCTTTACTTTTTTCTCCTATAACACCTGGTTATCTATGCAAAATTTCATTCTATAAACTGAAATTGAAAGTAACAACTTTTTAATGAAATATATTTTATTGGATGGTAAATGAGTTTGATCAACAGACCCGATAGCACAATATTGAAATAAATTAAACAGCAATGCCAATTTCTTCCCTTGGCGCAAATAATTTTACTAGAAACTGTTGGAACAAACCCGTTCTGCCTGGATTAAAAGTTCTCATATGCAAACTGTGTATACTTTGAAACTGAGAGCCCTGCAAAACATATAGCATTTAAGGGTAGGAAATATCTACAAGACCGTGGAATATTTAAAATTTTCCATGTGACTTCATGGTCATGTTAAGCTAAGTATTGACATTTTCTCATGTGTTTTGGCTTTTTATAAACACACAGGGACAACGTATTTGGAAATATTTTCTGAGAAATTGAAATTCAGTGTTTTATGGTACATGTTGTCATTAACATAGCTTTCGACTAAATACAAAAATCAACTTAAAATTTCTGCTATCGCTCTATTTCATCATTTTTCTATGTTGATATTTAAAGTTTCTCTATAGTTTGAGAAATATTTAAGATTTGATATAGACGTAAGGAGTAGGAAAAGGAATGACATATATTCTGTAAGATTTCCAGAACCAAGAAATGTGGTATAGCATATAGGACATTTATGAGATCATATTTCCTTGGTTAGGAATTCCTTAAGTGAACTTTAATGGGTAAATGCTAGAGCAAGCAGTATTAAATTCCCATCTCATTCTGATTATGCTAAATAGAAACATCCAGAATATTTTAGCCTAACTCTCCTGTTTTTAAACTCCACAGGATCTAGTGTACAAGGACCCAGCCAGGCCTAACATCCAGAAAACATGTACCTTCAAAGAGCTGGTGTATGAGACCGTGAAGTTGCCTGGCTGTGCTCACCAGGCAGATTCCCTATATACCTATCCAGTAGCCACTGAATGTCACTGTGGCAGGTGTGACAGTGACAGCACTGACTGCACCGTGAGAGGCTTGGGGCCCAGCTACTGCTCCTTCAGTGAAATGAAAGAATAAAGAGCAATGGACATTTCAGGTGACCTACCCTTGTCCTGAAGGACCAAGATATCCAAGAAGTTTATGTGTATATATGTGCCCAGGCTGCTAACCACTGGGGCCCAGAGATCATTAGACCGCCGATCCCTGCTCTCTGGGCGGAGAAGGAGCTCCAGCAATTAAGAATGCTGGGGCCAGGATCCTATCACCTCTCAACACTCCACCCTGTATACCTAGGTCTGGATTCCATAAATTTTAATCAGTCTTACTTAACTTACAGACATGTGGGTGCTTTCCTACCTGATAATCGTAGAAATCCTCTCAGGCAATCCCTTCCTCTTAGAGATAGAGTTACCTAGGCCCAGGGGAAGGAAATGAGATGGGAATGGGTCAGAGGACTAAATACAGCATTCTTCTTTTAGACTCTGGAGCCCTCAAGAGTAGAGCCAGCATCTTCATGATCGTAGTCTCAATGCCTGGCACCATGCCTGAAATTAATATTAAGAAGTCAACAATGGCTTCCTTAAGGAAAGTAAAAATCAGAAAGGTAAAGGTAGGAAACACCAAAAGAGGATGCTGGAGGCTGGCTGATGAGGCTGCCCTCAGCAATGCCAATCAGTCCATGGAAGTAGGGGCATTCGCTCCACCTCACCTCTCCTCCTGTGTCACAAGGAATACTGAGATAGGCTTCATTTTGCTGAATCACTCAGTGCATATGGGGATTACCAGAGCTCAGAATTTCTAAGCTATTACTACCAAGCCCTTTAGTTAAGGGCAAAAACAAGAAATGTTAATATAGGCTTATTTTCCCAGGCCCACATCTATTTCATCATTTAAACAAATTGAACAAATACTGTCAGGTTCCTGCAAAACTCCCTTTGGGAAGTAGAGAAAAAAAAAAAAAAACTATATCACCCTGCCCTCCAGGCTAGGATCCACTCCTTTAGAGAGAGGTGGATGTTAAAGTAGATTTGAAAGCAATTTTGTCAACTTAGTAAGTACATTTATCTTATCTACAAATACATTTGTGTAAAGAAATAGCTCTTTTATAAAGAATTAGTCGGGGGGGTGGGGGACCTCCTGTTTTCTAGAATCTTCTGTATATCAGTCTTTTCTTTTGTCTCTCCATGTTCTCCCAAATCAGTTTCTTTCAAGAGGATAAATATTAAAACTATTTCATGAGTTGATTTCTTTTCAAGGTGTTACCTCTCTTAGTTATGTACTTGTTTCATACTCGTTTTGTTTAATTTATTTAAACCTTATTTTTTTAAAAAAGATGCTAGCCCCAGAGTCATAGATTTAGATTTTTTTCATGTATAAGCAAATGACTAAAATATGAATTACATTTATAATATTAGTAGAAAGAATATTAAAAATAATTCCTAGTTATTCTATAATATTTACTTGTCCTCACCTTTGGAAATATTAAAATTAATTTGTTGCATTTCTAGAAGTGTTTCCTTATTTAAGTTTCCTGTAATTTTTTGAAGTCAGTATCTGATGGAATGGGGGGGAAAAAAGGCAAAGAGAGAATCACAGAGTGGGTGGGGACACCGGAAGTACTCTAGTTCATTTCTTGAATTTCTGAAATGGAACACCTGAAATCTAAGGAAATTAATTGACCCACCCAAGAACTCAAAGGCCATTCATGGCAGAAACAGGATTAGAACCCTGGCCTCCTAGCTCTTGGCTAGCTCTCCTGTGACTACTCTGCCATACTAAGAAGTCATTCTGGCAAAGATTGAAGCAAAATTGTACATATCAATAATCAAGCTATGCCCATTCAAATCTGGTACCGATTGTGGCTTATAGTTAAATTCTCCACAATATTTTGACACACTGAGATTAGGGCTATATTAACAAAGCTTAACAAGAGCTTTAAACTATAGCATAGTGTTTGCCTTCTCCCCGTACTTTTGGAAATCAAAATAATTGCCTTCCCGTTAGAGGAAGTACAAGGCAATGGCTCCAGAGTTAACTTGTCTTAATCACCTTGTCCAGATGTAGCATCTTAAACAAGTTACTTAAATTCTCTAGATCTCAGTTTCCTCAGCTGTAAAATGAGGATAATAACATTATTTACCTCAAAGGGTTGTATGGATGATTAAATGGGATAGCACATGTAAAGGACTTAGAACAGTCAGTGCCTGGCACATAGCAATTCCTCAGTAAATACTGGCTGTTATGCCATGAAAGAGATAAGATGGTATCAAGATAGTAAGTCAGACTTAAGTAAAACAACATAGCTTAGGCTCTTCCTAGTAATATTAGGCAAGCTATTTAACCACTCTGGGCATCACTTTCCTCATTTTTAAAATGGAGTAAAAATGGTAACTATCTCACAGGGTTGCTGTGAAGATTTAAAAAGATAATGAATGCAAGGTGCTTTAGGAGTCCAACAGAAGAACTACAATCTTGATATAGAGAGACTTCTATAACTTAGCTTAGAAGGTCAAAGTCAAAATGCTAGGAAGAAGCAGCAGTTTCTGCTTGAGGCACCCCCATGCCAAACTGAAATACAATCCTTTCTGAAGCAGCAAGAAAGAAAATTTGTGAGCTCTCAAAGTGCTTGTGAAGAAAAGGCCTATCCCCATGGGTCACCATTTTAGTTGAAGCCCATATTATCTCTCCTTAGCACTACAGCAAAGGTTTTGCAACCTCTTAGCAGTCCTCACCTGGCTATAAGAATAATCCATCTAAACCACAACTTTGACCATGTCTAATAATGAATGGAATTCCTCTGCATTTTCAGGATAAAATCTTAATATTCAGCTGACACATGAGGCCCATCATGGTCTGATCTGTGACTACCTCTCAACTTCCTATCTCCCTGTTCCCTCATTCCCAAGAGGCTGCTAAACCTAGAGACTGGCTATGAGGATTGAGGGATGAATTCATGCCTCTCACCCCTGGAATGCTTTAACCAGAATACCATGTCTTTCCTCCCACAAGAGATCTGGCTGACTATAGTAGAATTCAGTAGTGCTGACTTACTGACCAGTTTAAGTAATAAAAAATGTGATGCCAGTGCATAAGAGTCACAAACACTGAGTTCATGATAGTGAGGAAGGATAAAGAGGAACAGAATTGGAGGAAAGTACTTAAGAAGCCTCAAACTACATTTATAATGTTTATATCTTAAAATAAATCTGAATCACAAATATGGTATAATGTTAACATATATAATTCTGGGGGAATGCTATACAGGTGTCCATTATGTTCTTTCATACATGTAAAGTGTTTGCTAGTTAACAAGTGACAAAGCATCTTTATATGCTTTGTACATTTAATCCTGATTTTATGCCTATTATAAGAAAGGCAAGATGGGCCCTGAGCCTAAAGTCACACAGCTTGTGTGCAAGGCTCAGGCATTAATATTCATTTAGGAATTGAGGCAGAGAATTCAGTATGTTCACCAAGATCTGTGCCTACTTCTTCCTGGCTGTAAAGCTGGACTCCATTTCCTAGCCTTCCTTACAATCGAGTTATATCCATGTTCCAGTCAATGGAATGTGAGCAGAAGTACTGTGAGATACTCCATATCTGGCCCATGAAATCCTCTCATAAGTGATCATCCATTCTCTTCCTATATCAGCTGAATGTCAATACCCAGGATAACCTTGAAAGCTTTGCATTGATGATAACAGAGCCACTGTCAGCCTGGATTCCTGAATGCCTGCATGGAGTAATGTGCCCCAACATCAACAACCCTTATAGCAGACTGGATAGACTTTAGATCAGTGAAGAAACTTTCTATTGGGCTAAGCTGTTGGCATTTGTGGGTTTATTAATTAGGGAAAAATGCATTATTTTACATTTTGAATAATATATAAGTTGGTACTGGAAGTAGAGTGCTGCATTAACAAAAAAAATAGCATACATAACATTAGCTTAGTTGTTGTACAACAGTAATAATCAGAGTAAAACTTTCACCTGTAAAACATGAAGGCCAATCACATGCCTACAGAGCCTTTTGCTTTAAAGAAGGGATCAGCAAATTGGGGCCTGCAGTCCAAATCTGGCCCATTAACTTTTTTAAAAAATAAAGTTTATTAGTACATAGCCAATTATCTATGGCTATTTTTGTACTACAACAGAATTCAGTAATTGTGACAAAAGCTGCTTATGGTCCACAAAGTCTAAAATAATTTACAATCTAGACCTTTACATAAGAAGTTTGCCAACCTGTCCTATAAGGAAAAGTTTGCAAAGAGTTCAAATGTTAATGGAATTGGCTTTTACTTTTTAGTTATTAAACCGATAGTTTGTTTGGAAATAGACATGAAAAGGAATGGAGAAAGTCTAGGAATTTGAAGACTTGAGGTTTATAAAAGCTTAGTGCTTCTAAATCCCAAATAGTAAGAGAGAAAATGGATTTGAGGAACAAAGTTCTGTAAGATTCAGTCCTGAGGTAAAGACAGATTTAAGGTGTGGTCTTCCCATCTAGGTCTTTATCTCAGATAGTATCCATAGTAGAACCATTAAGTTGTAAGGAAGCAAAAAAAAATAAATAAATCCAGATTGATAATCATGCTAAGGAAAAGAACTTTAGATGTATTTATAGGCACCAGGAACAAAATGAAAGTATTTGAGGGAGCTGATTAGCAACAAAACCAAAAGACTGGACTAAAAATGCCTTTGATTATTTGAACAACCTTTGGGTCCCCAAACTTGGTGAGCAGGAAGTAGGCTACTAAACTTGTACAACCCCAAGGAGGGCAACTCTCCATAACTACTTTAAATGCTGCCATGAAAGATAATGGATAATAATAACCTTCAGGATGATGGAGGCAGGAGCTATGGAGAACAATGGACAAGGAAAAAAATGTTCCTCTAGAGAAAAGAATCAGCATCCAATTAAGGAATTTCCTCAACTGCCAAGTCAGCAGGATTTCATAAAGCTTGCCCAGTAGGATTTGATCATTGCTTAATCTACTGAGCTGTGTCTCCTAGTCTTCCCTTTTATGAATGGTAGTGTTATTGTGATTAGTGTCATGGGGTGAAAGTACCCCTACTTCATCACTGAATACTAGGTGGAGAGGGACAAGAAAGATAACTTGTCTTTTTAGTTCATGGATTGCTAGCACATGAGGAGCCACATCTGGAATGATGGTGAGAACTTTATCATCTGGAAATCAGGGCCTGGAATTGGACTCAGGGATGGATTAGATCTTTGGAGAGGCAAGGAGGTGGTCTGACATGAGGGAGAAAGATGAAACTCTATTTGTTCTTAGATATTTGGACTGTGATAGAAATCGTTATATGTT